GTCATGGACACAGTATATTCCTACTTAAGTGAAAATGTTTGACCTATGAGCAGGAAAAGTTAATGAATTTTGGGTAACCTAAAGATTTTATTAGCAACATTTTTGCTGCTTTACTCCCTGAGCCTTAAATACTCTATTTCAAAGAAGAAATATGAGGAAGTTTTATTCACTTAATTAGATCCTGTCAACCTGGCTGACTGAGAACAATTAAATACAATAAACTTTGTCTACAGAACAATATACTTGATAAATTACATTTTTCTTGAGATTATTTTGGACAACCAAAATATTTTGCGGACAACCAGGTTTTGTCAACAGGTTGTCYGCTGGACAACCTGAAAAATATCCTTATGTCTACCCCTGTATATATATTTTTAAGTTATGATCTTGGCCTTAAGCTTGTGTGGTCAGATTACTGGAAATGCCCAAATTCAGCCTGGCTATGGATTTTGAGTGTTTGGCCACTGAAATTAATTGAAGCACATGTGGTCTTATGTTTAAATACAAGCCCAGTAAAGACCAACAAGGCAAATCTTACAGAAGACCAGGTGCTCGATCACYTGAGAAATGAACAAATGACTGACTGAATCAGTGAATGAGAATAAATTTTGACTGAAGATTTGTCCCATGTTTATATCACTGTTTCCYCTACATTAAAAGTTTTGGAAAGGCAGCAGGGAATGTGTGGTAGTGGGGTGTTTTCATTGGTGATGCACTTATGCAGTAGCTAGAACTGTAGCTGTGTAAATGATCACAATATTACAGAATTTAAAACAACCAACTCTAAGACAAGTAATGTCGTTTTTTTCCTAAGAAAGTTAATTTTATGTTAATTTTGCAAATGTGAAGTATTCTGGTGGGCAGAAATCAAATGRTCAGCAATGGTTGAAATGTTAAAGAAGAGAATAAACCCATTTTCAGCTGTTTTAGATTTGTCTGGAAAGTGTAGCCCTTAGGCCCTTAGTCAATATGAGCTAACTGATCTGTACACGCTAAGAAGTGGATGGAAGGACAACCCAACACTCTGGCCAAATATTGATTACAACGGTGTTTGACCAAATCACTGGGATCGTTCATTAGAGAGTTGCTGACGGCCTGCAAGTCATTATATGCCTATAGATGAATGCTAATAGAATCAAATAAAGTCAGYATGTTAATTATTTTTTTGTGCTTCCCTCAAAATAGGTCACACAATTCAAGACCACTGTTTTTGTTTTATTTATTTTTCATTTTATCAGTTCATATCAGTGTTTGTTGAGGATTACTAGAGCTGCATAAAGTAGACTGATCACAGAATTTCATCTGMCTGAAAACAAAGAATAAAATTTACCTGATAGAAAACATCCTGATGCATTTCAGTAATTCAGGTAGAAAAATAAAAAAAAARTTAACTAGGAGATGACTGCCAGCCATGATCCTCGTTCTTTAGTATCCATCCCTTTCTGTTGGCCGCCAAGAGCCTCTTATTTAGTTTGTCTGAGTCATTTGTTTTTATTAAATGGTGCCAGGAAATGATATTCGCCTTGTCCCACCTATTTGCTCACCCAACCATGAGGCAGGATTGATGTAGCTTAATGCATCACATATGTATAGCTAAATGACGTGTTGACTTTCTGCCCACCAGCGAGGTTTTGAATCGAATGGTCACATCATGACGTCACGATGATATTCCCTACTGAGAGTTTAATCTTTAGTTGGAGTAGCTGCTGCCCTCTGTCCACTTTCCTGCTGCTGTATCCACTCTTTGGATGAATTAGTCCCCTGACAGTAAACCAACTGAAACTACCTTTCACCACAAGTGTTTTTTTTTTTACACAATATGCAGGCTTGGTTTTGCATGACCATTTGAACTTAAATGTACAAATTTGTCTGGCAAAAAAAGCTCCAGCACTACATTTAATTAAGTGTCCATGGAGTATTTATGGTATCAATGGTGGTGTTGGTAGAAATTAGTGTTTATACCCTCAAAATTATGATGCTGTAAGACAAATCTGTGATGGTAAGATTTTAAATGATGTGGCCAAAGCAAACAATTTAAAGCTTGCAAGTAGCAAGACGTCTTAGTTAAAAAAGGTGATATTTTCCCTTTTTTATGACCTATGCTCACTGTTCAAGTCTATTGCTAAAAGGGCACTGCAATATCATAAATGTTACCAGGGTAAATCCAGAAAGGTTTTTAAGGAATTTTTCCATGGACGTCTTTGTTAAAAGTGTAATTAAACCAAAGATCTTAAACACAAATGTAAACAAGAAGCGTGAATACAAATGAGCCTGTCAAAATAGAAACACCATCCAGAAACACATCAAATTTCATAAAGCACCTGGTTTTCCTWTCAT